CAGAAACATTTTTGTAATAAAAAATGGTTTAAACTGTTTTCTGTGGGTCACTATAGAGGATGCTGTAGCATGCGGCCCAGATCGCCAAGGACTAAAATACTAATTTACCCAACAAATGGCAGTACTGGCCAGCTGACAACTTCCAATTTAGTCTATCTTTGAAAATTGGCCTTGAACAAAGACCATCTCACCCCAAATCTTGCTCCTTCTCAAAAGTCAGCCGGATCTAATGACTGGCCAGTGTGATGATATAAAGGCCTTTCCCTGTTATCTCAGTTTGGAAAAACTCTGAAGATATATTCCAGTTTCAGATCTACCCATGGAATTCGCTGAAGCCTTTACTGCGACTTCGTGACAATTCAACATCTTCTTCTCCCTAGTTCTGCTTGTCTCACTCATCCCTCAGAGATTTTAATTCTATTACCAAATATACTTACAGTAAGCATATTTATGTCTCAAAGTTCATTTCCCAGTAGGCCCAATCTGAAACACTTAATATTAGAACATTATTTACAACTGTATTTTTTGGGGAGATAAATTTCAATTCTCAAATCTCTCATTAGGTAGATAATCTTTTGATTTGCATTCTGTATGCTTGTATTTCAGAAAGATAAACTCCCGGACATCAGATATCTTCTGAGAATATATACAACTTTTGTATTAACATATTCTATGACCTTGGTCAAACTGCTTTGAATATAACTCTTGGAAAAATTATCCTTTTCTGTTACCAAGAATAAGAAGCTTCTTTTTTCTATATCCACAGATACAGCTTCTTGTGTTAGTCCCATTTTCTTTGAGCATTTTCTTCGCAATGATCTAATGCATATTATACTAATGGCCATAATTACATTTATAAATTAGTATGAATGTTATAAGGATGCAAGACATGAAGTTCAATAGGCAATTTTCAGCAATTGATTCAGTCACGTCCTCTCCTTTTCCAGGTTTCAATTCTTTTTAAGCTTCCCCCCCACCCCCCACCCCGCTGTATCTTCCTGCTTCACTGCTCCTCATGAGAATTAAAATAAAAGCTTAATTAACATCTGTTAAACCTTCTATTGAAAGATGAGATCTAAGTGTACATGCATATTAGAATTAGAAAATCTATGAGGGAAGGAGGAAAATAATAAGAAAAAGGAACAAATTTTCCAGAGAGACAAATACTGCAATCCAATAGCCACACTTACTAATTTAATAAAATCCTTTTTTGGCTTATTATCCATATATTATTTTTTTATTAAACTTTAAGTTCTGGGATACATGTGCAGAACTTGCAAGTTTGTTACATAGATATTCATGTCATGGTGGTTTGCTGTATCCATCACCCCGTCATCTACATTAGGTATTTCTCCCAATGCTATCCCTTCCTTATCCCCCCACACCCTTCTTTCCATCCCCTGAGAGTGTGCACAACAAAAATGTGCGTGCTAATTGTTTTACCATTTTGGTTCACATGGGAATTCTAGAGATTACAAGGAAGAATGAATGTTAAGAAGAGTCCTAGGATAATCTTTTTTTTCTCTTTGTGTTATTAGAGAACAAAGAATAAATATAAGGTACCACAAAATTTCTCATATAGGAATACATGTTCTTTCATGTTTTTCCATGGCTTACTTTAACAAAAAATGAAGTAAAATTTTGTCAAATAGGCTAAATAAGAAAATAGATTGAAATTTATATTGTTTAACATTATTCATACTCATGTCACCACCTTATAACTATTTGATTTAGAGAGAATTGTACTATTTTAAGGAATTCAGCAAGTTATAAGAGTCAGGCTAATTTTCCTTTGCACACTAGCTTGTTTGGGATGCAGTTGCTTTTAGGTAACCTAAAATAACTACATGTTCCAAGATGATAATTTACTGAAGTATAACATGATCTAGTATCCAGAGAATTCATTAGGTTTTTTTTTGTGAGCTTAGAACCATGAAAATCAACAGACAGACCAGATGTTTTATGGGCTAAAAAGAGATATGAGAGCTGTGTTGAGTGAGATTATCTGAGTGAGAACACCCACACGTCCTGGGTGTAATAGTGAGTATGGATGCTTCAGTTTCACGTTCTTAAGTCTGGCACTCAAAAAAAAAATCCTACTCAAATCTTGCCTTTATAATACAGCACAGAGAAATAATTTTAGTCGGAACTCTGAATGCAATGTAGAGAAGGATAGAAATACTATGGCATTAACTCAAATGAATGGTAGTTTAAGTAGGGCAAAGGAACATAAAGACAGCAATATGTGTATATTCAAATTACCCATCTGCACCATCTACTTATACTTTAGGCATTTCTGCATGCTTATTATCCAGGAACATTTTAATGAGGTGTTCATTCTCAGTACCTGAGTTTATTTTCTTCTCCTAAAATACTTTTTGATGCGATTCTAAAAGAAAAATCAGAGAGGACTGAATATTTCATAAGTATATTTCAGGGAAAAAGCTCTCTCTTTACAAACCATCTCAATGAGCATAGTTCTGTTATTGGTAACATGTAAAACTAATGCATGTACCCATAACTTTAATTAAAAATAAGTACTATAAATGAGATAGAAAAATGCATCCTCAAAATAGCAGTTGTTATTGTTGATTTTTTTCATGTGGAGAAAATTATAGAATGCTGGATAGTAAAAGGTAAAGAGTTAAGCAAAACATGTAAATTATGTCAATTTCAAAAGTATTTTATATCTGAAAGTATATAAGTTATAAATGTTAAGTGCAGTCAACACTCTAATCAATCCCTTACATCTGATTAAATATTTTAAATAAATCAAGGATTAGAAAATCTCACCCCATAATCTTTTATTTTGATCTCATTATATGGAGATATATGACTTAAGTAAAGTGCAAGCTTGAATTTTTGTAACGACTATCAATTCACAGACAGTGGAAAAACTGTACATAATAAACATATTAGAACATCAACAAATGAAAGACTTTAAAACATACATATATTTAATGCAGTTGCATGTTAAATTACAATGTAAAGACTTTTAAGATTGTTAATGAACATATGGTGAATTATGACAAGCTTCCTTGAAAGTTATATTTATTACATCTATGATTTTTAAATTTCTAATTACCATAGAAAAAAATATTTTCCCATATGATCTCAGCAATATGTAAAAATGATACAGGCCTCAGTCTTCTCCTTTGTGAAATGAAAAATATTTCCTCAATCTACCTTCATGTTGAAAAGTATATGATTTTGTTTATGAATAACAAGGTAAGACAGCAAAAGATGAAAAGACAGACAGAATATCTAAAAGACAGACAGAAAGCAATTAACAAACTGACAATTGTAACTCCTCAAGTATCAATTGTTACTTTACAGTGGTGCCCTGCCCCAGTTGACACAAATGCTCTCTGCCACACTGGTGTGGCTGGTGGCACACGGGAGCGAGCCCAAATCCTTCTGCCACTGCCTTGATGAAATGCTGTCTGGCACCCCCATTCAGAGTCTTGTGGCCAGCAGACTGGGAACACATTGGCCCCTCCAGTGCAGCACATTCCTAACCTTAAGGTACAGGTGACACACTTGGTTCATAATACTAGTCCCCCCAAAGTTAGATCAGGCAGGCCAGAAGTAGTGAGTTGAACCTTTGCTCCCCTAAAATCTTCCAGATATGAAGCCAGTCAACTGAACCCAACTTATACCACAATTAAACTTTCAAGCGCACCAAAGAAGATAAAATCATTAAATCCTCATTGAAAGAATAGCAGCTTCAAAGATTAAAGGAACACCAGCCCACACAGATCAGAAAGAACCAGTGAAAAACTGGCAGTGCAAAAAGCCAGAGTGTGTTGTTACCTCCAAATGACTGTGGTAGGTCCTCAGCACTGGTTTCTAACCAAGCCGAAATGACTGAAATGACAGACATAGAAATCTAAATAGGGATAGGAATGAAGATCATCAAGTTTCAGGAGAGAATTGAAATCCATTCTAGAGAATCTAAGGAATACACAAAAGATAGATGAGCTGAAAGATGAAATAACCATTTCATATAGCTAAAAAACTCACTCAAAAATTTCATAATACAATCGTAAATATTAACAGCAGAATTGAACAAGCAGAGGAAAGAATCTCAAAGCTTGAAGACCACTTCTCTGAAATGACTCAGTTTAACAAAAACAAAAAAGAAAAATACAAAAAGAATAAACAAAACCTCTAAGAAATTTGTAGTTATATAAAAATACCAAATCTATGACCTGCTGACATCCTTGAAAGCGAGGAAGAGAAAGCAAGCAACATGGAAAACGTATTTAAGGATATCATCCATGAAAATTTCTGCAACCTCACTAGATTGCCAACATTCAAATTCAGGAAATAAAGAGAAACCATGTGAGATACTATAAAGAATTATCATCCCCAAGACACATAGTCATCAGATTCTCTAAGGATGACATGAAAGAAAAAAAATGTTAAAGGTAGATAGAAGAGAGAAGCAGGTCACCTAAAAGGGCTAATAGTGGACCTTTAAGTAGAAATCATACAAACCACAAGAGATATGGGGCCTATATTGAGAATTTTTAAAGAAAATATATTCCAACCAAGAATTTCCTATCTAGTCAAACTAGGCTTCACAAGTGAAGGAGAAATATACTTTTTTTTTCAGAAAAGCAAACGTTAACGGAATTCATTACTACCAGATTTGCTTTACCAGAGTCCCCTACCAGAGTCCCCTACCAGATGAAAGAAAAGACCATCACTAGCCATCATAAAAACACACCTTAACAACGTAGACCACTGACACAAAGAAACTACACAATCAGCTCTGCATAATAACCAGCTGACAAAATGACGGCAGGATCAAATCCGCGTATATACATATTAGGTTAGTGCAAAAATAACTGTGGTTTTAGACCATGAATTTTAAATCCTTGTAACTAGTCTTAAACACATCTTTATTTCACAGTTGTGGAAGAGTATTCTTTGCAAAAAGCTGTTGAGAAGCTTGAAGAACTGGTAGTTGTTGCTTGGCAAGGAGTCAGGCGAATATGGCAGATGAAACAAAACTTCATAGCCCAATTCATTCAACTTTTGAAGTGTCAGTTGTGCAACGTGTGGTCAGGCATTCTTGGATGGAAGAATTGAGTCCTTTCTGTTGCCCAGTGCCAGCTGCAGGTATTGCAGTATTCCATGCACATCATCAATTTGCTGGCCATACTTCTCAGATGTAATGGTTTTGCTGGGATTCAAAAAGCTGTAGTGTATCAGACGAGCAGCAGACCAAGAAATACTAACTATGACCTTTTTTGTGTGTGCAAGTTTGGCTTTGGGAAGTGCTTTGGAGCTTCTTCTAGGTCCAATCACTGATCTAGTCATCACCATTTGTCATATAAAATCCATTTTTCATCACATATAACAATCCAGTAAAAAGAAATGGTTCATTGTTGCATAAGATGACACCTAAATGATGATTTTTTTTGTCAGCTCATGAGGCATCCACTTATTGAGATTTTTCACCTTTCCAATTTGCTTCAAATGATGAATAACCATAGAATGGTAGACTTTGAGTTTTTCAGCAACTTCTCATATCATTGTAAGAGGACAAATTGCTCTCAATTGGTTGTTGTTAACTTCCTATGTTGGGCTACTACATTCCTGATGTTCAAGGCTTTCTTCTCCTTTGCAGAACTTATTGAGCTCCTACTACACTGTATGTTCATTAGCAGTTCCTGGGCCAATTGCAATGATGATGTGAGTTGTCTTTGCTGTTTTACCACCCATTTTTAAGTCGAATAAGAAAAATCACTCGGGTTTGCTTTTTGTCTAACATCATTTACATAGTCTAAACATAAACAGCAAGTAATAAGTCATTAGTAAAAAAACACAAAGCAAGAAATACCCATTAAAATGATGTATAAGGTAACCACATTTGTATAAGAATATATGCCAGAAAAATTTTTAAAAAAAGAAACTGACTCCTTAGTAATTATTTTAGGCTTTGTGGGACATACAGTCTTTGTTACAACTGATGTTGGAGCATGAAAGCAACCATAAACAATATGTAAACAAATGAATGTATCTGCACTCCAATAAAACTTCGTATATGGGCACTGAAAAAAGAGCGTATTCCAATATCAAACAGCAAATTTCAACAATGCAAACAGCAATTACTTTTGTATCAAGGTCTGTGGGCGCTATAATTCAGAAACTGGATAAAAACTTAACACCACAGTACTGAAGTATGTTTTTGCAGTGGCTGGAAACATTCTTTAGTTTTCAAGTTTAGCACTCCCTCAGGGATCTCTTATAAGACAGGTGTGGTGATAATGAATTATTTGAGCTTTGCTTGCCTTAAAAACATATTTCTCTTTTGCTTTTGAAGTATAGTTTGGCTGGATGTAAAATTATTGGTTGAAATTTCTTTTCCTTAAAAATGCTGAATATAGGCCCCCAATGTCTTCTGGCTTTTATTGTTTCTGATTAAAGGTCCACTGTTATCCTGATGGGGCTGTCTATAGGTGACCTGCTCCTTCTTTCTAGCTGTTTTTAATATTTGTTCTTCATTTAGACCTTGAATAGTCTGACTATGTGCCTTGGGAATGGTTTTCTTGTATCGTATGTTACAGGAATTCTCTGAATTTCTTGAATTTCAATGTAAATCTCTCTAGGAGGCTTGGGGAATTTTTCTGGACAACATTCTCATATATGTTTTCCAAGTTGCTTGCTCTTTCTTTATTTCAGGGACACCAATCAGTCATAGATTTGGACTCTTTACACAATCGCATTGTTCTCAGAACTTTTGTTTGTTTTTTAATATTTATTTTTAAAATTTTGATTTGACTGAGTTGTTAGGAAAACTAAACAATTAGTCTTCAAACTCTGAGATTTTTGTCCTCAGCTTGCTCTACTCTGCTTTTAATACTTCTGATTGTATTTGGAAATTTTTGTGAGTGAATTTTTGAGCTCTGTTAGACCAGTTTGATTTTTTTAAAAGGATATTTAATCTTTTAGCCTTTGACTCATTTTAGTGGATTTCCTAGATTCCTTGGATTGGATTTCAACTTTCTACTGAATCTCAATGATCTTTGTTTCCATCCAGATTCTTAATTATATATGTGGTGTTTCTGCTATTTTAGACTGGTTAAGAACGATTGCCAGGGAGTTACTATAGTCATTTGAAAGAAAACACACACACACACACACCCCTTGACTTTTAGAGTTGCCAGAGATCTTGTACTCATTCTTTTTCATTATGTGGCTAATTTTTTAAAAAACTGTAGTGCAATTTGAGTATGTATAGTCAGTTGGCTTTACTTCTGCATGTTTTCAGAGGGCTAAGGAATTGTGCAGGGTCTTTATTTGTGGCTCAATTTTGCTCTTGGTTTCATAGGGTGTTCTATTAGCAAAGTATATTTATGTTGACATTTGGGCTGTGATGCAGTAGATGGCGCTTAAATGTAGTGGCCAGTAAACTGGCTCTTAGCTGCTGGCTTCTGTTCCTTCTTAATGCTCTGAGAGTGTGGGCTCCTCTCTCGCTTGATTGCTGGCCACAGATCTCAGCTTGGCACTGTTTTAGGCAGTGCACCATAGCTCTGGGGATAGCTCAGGCTTTTTGTTCTTTCCGCAGCTTGGCGGCATCAGAAGCAAGGACCCCAGCAGTGGCAGTGGCAGAGGGCAGAGGGCCTTTCACTTGTCTCTGGCAGTTCCACCTCAGAGAAACACAGAGCCACTGACAATTGGAATGATCAGCTAGAGGTGTATCAGGTCTGTTGTAGGCCCGAACTGGGGACCCTACCCAATGAAGAGGAGGGGTTTAAGGGGCTCATAGAAGACAGTCTAGCCCCTTTACAGGGTGGTTCTATCATGCTGGAGGTGCAAGTAAAACACTCAGGCCTTTTGTTCCTTCTGTAGCCTGATGGCAGCAAGAGCAGGTACTACTGCAGGTGGTGGTGGTAGAGGGGCTGAGAGTTATTTCTGAGAACTCCACACCAGAGAGACACAAAGTTGCTGCAAATAGGAATGTTTAGCCTGGGGTTAGATGGCTGCATTTAGGGCCATCTAGGAGACCTGCCTTGTAAAGAGTAGCAAATCAAGGGCTGACAGGGAAGGTATACCAACCTTCTCTATATATGAGGGCTGCAGTGTACAAGAGATGTGAGGAAAGAAATCAAGATCTTTGTTCATTTGCAGCCTGAGGCAACAAGGGCAGGTTCCACTCTGGAAGCAATGGTAGAGTGCCTATAAGTTTTCTCTGGAAATTCCACCCCAGATAAACACAAAGCCACCACCCACTGAAGTGATGGGGTGGTGGTAGTGTGACTGTATTATGGACCCTGGTCAGGAAGCCCTACCCAGTGGGGAGTAGTAGGGGCAAAGATGCATGTGGAAAATAATCTGGCTGCTTTTCCGTACTGCAGCTGTGGTATGCTGGAGGCTCCTAGCTGTTCTTGGGCTCTACAGTTCCTCCTCTCCAGCTGGAGGGCCATAGAGTAGAGGCTGTGGTAGTAGGAATTATGGCAGGCCTGTTGGTCATCTCTGGGAGCTCTGTCCCAAAGAAATAGATAAAGGCAACTGGCTGGTGCTGAGGTAGGGGTAGAGTAGCTGTGCTGGGGTCCTAGGCCAGTGGGCTTTGGTTGTTGTGGTGCAGTGCAGGTGAGGCCTATAGTTTGCTCCTCAGTATCATGGCTGTGGCCCCTATTCTGGGGGGCACAAGAAGAGTTTTTTCCCTTGTTTGGGGAGCTATGGCAGCTGACACCACGTGGGCCCAAGTGGTAGCTCTTCGCAGACTTTACATACCTTTCTGTATCAGTCTGGAGGCCCTGGTAGAGGTGAGATTGGGGGGATCTCCTGTGTTCAAGATTGCAAAGGTCCGCAGCATTATTCTGGGTCCCTTACATGTTCCCTGAAGCGGGGAGCCTCTCTTGGCTCCATGCCACTACTAGGGAGGCAGCTGCCCTGCTTCACTCCTTTCTGCTTTCCTTGGGTCATGCTCCTTCTTTGATGAGTCTCAACATATTCTCTTGGATGATCGAGTTATTAAAATAATAATTTTATATAGGCAAAAGTGAAGAAATAGGAAAAAATAGTCTATGTAAATTATAACCCAAAGAAAGCAGGCATGGCTATACCTACACAAAATAGACTCTAAGTCAAAAACTTTGGTGAGAGACAAGGAAGGTCATTGTATAGTGGTAAAAGGGTAAATGTCTTAGGAAAATATAATAATTACAAATATATACATATACAATATCAGAGTCTATAAATATATAAAGAAAACAGACAGATCTGAAGGGAGAACAGAAAGCAATACAATAATATTAGTAGACTTCAATGCTCTATTTCAAATAATGAATATAATATCCAAACAGAAAATCAATAAAACAACAACAGACTTGAATAACACAGTAAACCGAATGGACAGATATACATGAAACATTTCACCCAGTAGCAGCAAAATACACATTCTTCTCAAGCACACAATAAACATTATCCAGGGTGGACGCACGTTAGGTCACAAAATAAGTCTTAACAAACTTAAGATTGAAATCATTCCAAGTATCTTTTCTGACCACAATGGAATGAAACTAGAAATAAATAACAGAAGGAAAACTGGAAAATTCACAAATAGCTGGGCATTAAACAGCACACGCTTGAACAACAAATGGGTCAAACAAACCAAAAAAGAAATTAGAAAATATCTCAAGACAAACAAAAATGAGAACACATTATACCAAAATTTATGTAATGTAGAAAAGCAGTGCTAAGAAGGAAGCTTATAATGGTAAATGCCTATATTAAAAAAGAACAAAGGTCTTAAATTAACAACCTAAGTCTGTACCTCAATAAACTAGAAAAAGACCAAAGCAATTCCAAAATTAGCAGAAGGAAGAAAATAATAAAGATTAGGGCAGTAATAAATAAAATAGAGAATGAGAATCAAAAAAAAGATTTTTAAAAGCAATAAAACTAATATTTGGTTTTCTTATTTATGTTTTTAACTGACAGATAAAAATTTTGTATCTTTATGGCATACAACATGAGGTTTTGGAAATGTATTAATGTATATTATGAAATGATTCATTGAAGCTATTAAATGTAAGCATACACTTACATCTCTTTGATGAGAATGCTTAAAATCTACTCTCAGCTATTTTCAAATATACAATAAATTAGTAATAATGATGTACAATAGATTTATGAAACTTATTCTTCCTGTCTAACTGAAATTTTGTGTCCTTTGACCAACATCTTTCCAATCTTCCAGCTCCCTATCTGCTGGAAACCATCATTTTGCTCTCTGTTTCTATGAGTTTAACTTTTTTAGGTTTAACATATCAGTAGATAATTTGGTATTTTTCTTTCTGTACTTGGTTAATATTACTTAACCTAATGTCTTAAGGTTTGTCCATGTTGTCACAAATGACAGGATTTTGTCCTTTTGGAAAACTTAGTAGTAATTCATTGTGTATATATACCACATTTTTCTTATCCATTCATTTATTGATGAAGACTTAGGTTTATTCTAAATCTTTGCCTGTGTGAATAATGCTGCAATAAACATGAGAGTACAAATATCTCTCTGATACACTGATTTTATATCCTGTAGATACATATGCCATAGTGGGATTACTGGATCATATGGTACCTCTATTTTTACAATTTTTAGAAACCTCCATACTGTTTTCATAATGGCTGTACTACTTTACATTCTCATCAAAATGTACAAGGGTTTCTTTCTCCACATCCTCCACAACACTTGTTAGCATTAATCTTTTGATAATAGACTTTAACATGTGAGATAGTATTTTGTTGTGGTTTTAATTTCCATTTGCTCAATAATTAGTGATATTGAGCATTTTAAAATATATTTGTTGGCCATGTATTTGTATGCTTTCTGTTGATAAATGTCCATTCAGTTTCTTTACTCATTTTTCAATCAGCTTATTTGTTTTCTTGCTATTGAGTACTTTTTATATTTTAGATATTAACTTCTTATCAGATAAATGGTTTGAAGATGTATTCTTTTATTCTGTAGTGTCTTTTCACATTGCTGATTGCTTCCTTTTCTGTGCAGAAGCTTATTATTATTATTTTACCTTTTGAGATAGAGTCTCACTCTGTCACCCAGGCTGGAGTGCAGTGGCACAATCTCGACTCACTGCAACTTCCACCTCCCAGCTTCCAGCAGTTCTCCTGCCTCAGCTTCCTGAGTAGCTTGAATTACAGGCATGTACCATCATACCCGGCTAATTTTTGAGTGATTAATAGAGATGAAATTTCACATCTTGGCCAGGCTTGTTTTGAATTCCTGACCTCAGGTGATTGACCTGTATCAGGCTCCCAAAGTGCTGTGTTTGCAGGTGTAAGCCACCACGCCAGACTGAGAAGATTTTTAGTTTAATGTAATTTTATTGTCAAATTTTGCTTTTGTTGCTTATGCTTTGGGGGTTATATTTAAAAAGTTCTTGCCCAGATAAATGTTATAGAGTTTCTTCCAGTGTTTTCTTCTAGTAGTTTTATACTTTCAATGTACCATTTCAGTCTTTCATCGATTCTTTGTTGATTTTTGTCAATGATGTGTGTGAGATAAGTGTCTAATTTCATTCTGCATATGGATATCTACTTTTCCCAGCACCAATTTATTGAAGAGCCTCTCCTTTCCCTAATGTGTGTTCCTGTCACTGTTGTTAAAAATGAGTTCCCTGTAGATGTATGAATTTGTTTCTGGTTTCTCTATTCTCTTCCATTGGTCTATGTATCTGTTTTTATGCCAGTATCATGCTGTGTTGATTGTAGTAAATCTTCAAATCAAGTAGTGTAGTGCCTCTAACTTTGTTATTTTTTGCTCAAGATTATTTTGGCTATTTGGGAACTTTTGAGGTTCCATACAAATTTCAGATTTTTTTATTTTTATTTTTTTAAAAAATTACAGTGAAATTTTCACAGCAATAGTATTAAATCTGTAGATTGTTTTGGATTGTATGGATATTTTGAAAATATTATTTATTCCAATTCATAAATATGAGACATTTCTTGTTTATTTGTGTCTTCAGCATCTTTTATCAATATTTTATAGTTTTCAGGGTACAGATTTTTCATTTCCTTGGTTAAATTTATTTCTTAGTATTTTATTATTTGTAGTTATTGCCAAGGGAAACGTTTTCCCAACTTCTTTATTGAATAGTTCATTTTGGTGTATAGAAACACTACTAATTTTTGTATGCTGATTTTGTATCCTTCAACTTTACTGTATCTGTTTATTAGTTCTAATACTTTTTGTTAGAGTCTTTGGCGATTTCTGTATATAACATCATGTCATCTGTAAACAAAAGATAACTCACTTCTTTCTGAATTGGATGTCTTTTATTCTTTTCTCTTCCCTGGCTAGGACTTTTAGTACTATATAGAAAATAAGTAGTAAGTGGGAGCATCTTTGCCATGTATCTGATCTTGGAGTTAACTTTACACCATTACTCCATTGAATAAGATGCTATCTATGGGCTTGTCATATGTGGCCTTTACCTTGTTGAGGTATATTTCTAACTGATTTATTGAGAATATGGCATGAAAGAATGTAGAATTTTATTAAATGACTTTTCTGCTTCTATTGAGATGATCTTATGTTTTTTCCCTAATTTTGTTAATATGATGTATCACATTTATTTCCATCCTTGCATCACAGTGGTAAATCCCCCTTGACTACAGTGAATATTTTTAATGTACTGCTGAATTTGCTTTGTTACTATCTTGTAAATTAATATTGTATTTATA